GAGTGAAGGTTCTATCGAACCTTACACCTATACACATAATTTTAAGAAAATCTGGAATATTCTTGCCAACAAATTTGTCATTAGAAATGTTATATGTATTCATATTCTGCTCCCCTGTGGAAAGAACCACTAGGGGAGGTGACAATCCATTTTGTTCGGATTGTATGCACGATGTTCTTTACATCTGGAAGTACCATCCAGGCTTAACTCTGATATCTGTGTATCAAACTTAAGCTGTTCGGGAGGGGCGCCGCCGGCGGCCGCCTGATTTTGCGTGGGAAAGAAAATTCCCGTTTCGCGAAATCAACCGGTCACGACATGCCTGGGTGGGCTGGGTGGTAATTTTTGAACGTAAAGAACTTAAGCGATGAGGTGTGAATCTTTCTGATGTGGTGCTAGGACTGAGCGGGTGGTGGACGTTTGCTGCTAGGAAAATTTTCTAGCCGCGAGTTGTCCAACCTCCTAGAGAGGTTTCACCCGCTATAAGCATATCTGCTGCCCCACATCTGTACACCTCCCTCAGTCATGGACTTCCGCACCAAGTCGTGCCTTGGTTGGTGCTTACAATCCATTTTGTTCGGATTGTATGCTCGATGTTCTTTACATCTGGAAGTACCATCCAGGCTTAACTCTGATATCTGTGTATCAAACTTAAGCTGTTCGGGAGGGGCGCCGCCGGCGGCCGCCTGATTTTGCGTGGGAAAGAAAATTCCCGTTTCGCGAAATCAACCGGTCACGTCTGTTGAGATAACCACTGCAGTTGGGTTGCTCGGTCTACCTGGCTGCTGAGACTTACTAGTAAGCCTCAGCTCACTGAGCCTCCCAACTGCTTTTGGGTGAGTCTCGGCAGCGTGTTTGTTGTTTACGATGTTTACTTTCTCTCCGCCTAACTCTCCTTGGCGTTCTCTCTCTATGGCTCGGCTCCACTCAATTTCCGCTTTGGCTCTCTGTGGCTTTAGCTCGAAACTCTATTTCCGCACTTCTCCATCTATGCTTTCTCGATGCATTGTGCATGAACTTTAATTTCTCGTTCTCGGCTCTGATTCTCATATGTACATCCTTACGCAATTCAATTTAAAAACTTCTTTCAAGATCTGTTAGTCAGCCCGTTGGGGGAATCATCCTCTTGTCGATCCATCTTGCTTCTCCCCCTGAGTTTTCGCTTCTCGTTTAAGGTTTCTTCGGTCAACTGCCCTCAGCAGTAATTTTGTTTCCTCTAGGTCTTCTTTCGTATATTCTTTTAGGTAGAGGTCTACTGCTTTCGACTCCTACCTTCCAATTCTCATGATTTTCTCCTTACTCCATCCTAATTCCATCGCAGTGACGCGCCTCCCACTCTGAACGAGTGTCCCGACCACAGACCGTCTTTGCTGCAGCTCTTCCCCCAGATTTGGCTTACCTTTCCCATGAAAAGCTCTTTCCACATTGGCTGCCTGTCTTTCCCCGCTCCGATTCCAAACAGCGCATCCGTAGCCTTCTTCCCTGGGATCTTCTCTGTCAACCTTTCCAACGCCGCTACTGGATCCATCACCGATCTCTGTCTGTCCAACCTGCTCACATATCAGAGCTCGTCAGTCACTCCTCACTTAGGAAATTCCATATTTCCCATCTCCTCACCTCACTTCTTGCATTTGGCCAGGTTTTGCGGTTTTTCCTCGCCACAACCTTAAGAATGCCACTTTCGTCTATCCTTCTCCCTCAAAGTGTAGGTCTGCTACCAGAAGCATGCCTTCTCTCCTTGATTGCCTCGTCAATTCTCCTAGTCGCATCATCCCCCAGAATGCCACCAATGCTGCTGTCGATATCAGCTCTTCTAGCTCGTCCTTGCCTGCGAAGTTGAAAGTTAAGTGAAGTAACTGTCGTATCATCACGGGGCTCTTTCCTATGCTTGATGCGCTTTCTCCTTCTTTCTGTAGCATCAACTGTTCCTCCGCTCTCTCCACCGCCCGTAAGATTCCTTTTATCATCGTCTGATCTAGTTCTGGCGGTTGTAGCTGCGTTGCCATCTGCCATGCTTGTAAGCCGGCCAGGTATTTCTCTAGAGTCTTCGCTCGCACGATTCTCTTTGCTGACGCCTCTTTCCTCGCCGGTGATGCTCCGGCCCAGATCAGGAACCCGTATACGTCTTTTGCTGTTAGCGGAATTGCGTTCTTCCAGTCGCCTCCACGACTTTCAATGTATTCTCTAAACTTTGTCACGGCGCTGCTGTAGCCTCGTAGCGTTGATTCGGCCCATGTTCCTCCTACCATGTGTCTCGCCACCTGTAAAGTTTCTTTGTCCTCTATCTCCTCTTCTATCCTTGCAAAGCTAACTTTTTTCCTCCCCATTCCTTTCGCTTCTTTCCTAACTCTCTTCTAAGAAGTCTTGCAGGTCGGCTGGCAGTTCGAACCTTACTCTGTCGCGTTCTTCTTTCGTGTCGTCTGTGTTTCTCGAGAGCGCGTCCGCGTCGTTGTCTTTGGACGTTACCCTCTGTTCTTCCAGGTCGCAATCTAACTCCGCCAGTCGGCGCTGAATCATCCGCCATTCCTGGTTCACTGCGACATGTTTGGACTTCATGTTTCGCACCACTGCCTCGGCTGTGGTGTTGTCCGTCAGGAAGAGTACCCTTTGGCCTTCGACGTCTCTTACTCTGGCTACGATTTCCAGCCCCAGTCGAATCGCCACGGTTTCATCCCATGCAATGTCTCTCTTCACTCCTAGCGCGTCCGTTTCGTTCCATTTTGCCTTGAGCTTCCACCGGTTCCAGTGCCTCCCTATCATTACTCCTACTCCGTAGTCCGTCGACGCGTCTCCTACCCAGCCGACGTCCACTGCTTCTCTCTTCGGCACTACCTTCCTATTCTTGAAGTCTTTCAGGACCCTTTTCCACTCCCATAGGTCGTCTGACACGTTCCTCGGCATCTTCCTTCTTGCCAATGCGTTCTTCCAGCTCGCCATCCACGCGTATAGGCTTGTGCAAAAGCACCTCATCTGCGGGATTATGTTCGTGACGTGTACCAGTCGTCCGGTGAGTTTCTCTACTTCTTTCAAGGTCAGTCCGTTTTCCTTCGTCAGGGCTTCGTCTACTTGTTTATTCCTCATTTCCAACTTCTCTGCAGGTAGTCTGATCGTTTTGTCTCTTCCGTTCCAGATAAACCCGATGTATTTTTGCTCTACATTGAACTCGGCGTATTTCCCTTCATTTGTTTTGACTCCTAGTTCTGCGCTCAATTCGACTACCTCCTTCATCGACACTTTCTCTTTGTCCGCCTTCTTCCTGACAAACAAATTGTCGTCTACCCAACGGAACACGGCCATAAATTCGAAGTGTCTCTTCATTATCTCCTTCCATGTGTCTGCTGGGCCTCCGAAGCTGCCGCATCCTGCCACTCCGCCGAAAGATACTCGTAAGTCGAAATAGATTTCTCCTTCTGTTCCTCTCACCATCAGATACCTCCACTGTGAGGGGTGAATGGGTATTTGACGAGACACTTTCTCCCAGTCGAATATCCCGAATTCGACCTCTTCTTCCAGCTCCATCATGAATCGCAACACCTTTGGAAGTCGTCCCACGTAGTTTCGAAGTCTGTTTTGTCCACGAACGAGTTCACAGATGGGATGTCCTTGTTGTTCTTCGGGAACGAGAGGTCGTTTATGATCCTGATTGATCCGTCTGCATTCACGACGCTCCCTATTGGGCTTGTCCTGAAGAATCCTAGCCTCCTCTTTATTTCGTCTTCGGTGTATGGTCCCCTCATGCGACCTGCGTCAAGTTCTTTTTGGATTTTTTCTTTTATGATCTTTCTTTCTGCTTCCGTTCTCGCGTGGTTGTCCGGTGAGTAGTATTCTCTCCCTGCTAGGCGGTGTTCCGGTATTCCTTGGTGAAAACCAATCACGAATCCGTTGATGATGTCCGTGTGTTTCTTCTCTACCTTCAGTCTCTCTGCTAGCTCCCTCCACTTCTCCAAGTTCATCTCGCATGAGACTCGCTCCGGCCAGGATCTATTTGGTCTAAACATCTCTGCGTTCTGCTCTCTCTTCTGCTGCTGCTCACGCTCCTGCGGGGAAGTCTTGGGTCTGCTCTGGCCGCTCGCTTTGGGTGTGTTTCTTGTTTTGGGATCGTGCGGCAAGAAAGGATCCACCTGTGGCGCCCTAATCCTTCGGACCCTACCCGGAGATAAACGTGCGACTACCTACGGGTAGCTCCCGAAAAGTATTTTGCCAGAACTGTCAGATCGGCCAGACAGATCCTGAGTCTCGACAAGAACCACAGTGAGAAGTTTTTTTGACTTTTCAACCTTCACAAACATGTTTTAATGCATTCTAGAGCCATCCTGAAGCTTTGCAAAACTTAAGTTTTTGACCTGCCAACCTTGAAAAATTCGAAAAAAAAACCAGACCTGTCTGACTGGGGGTCAGATAGGTCTGGTGGTCTCTAGCATAGCGCAAAAGTCCTCAGACGTGTCTGAGTCTGATAGTCAGACTTGTCTGGGACATATTCAAATCGTCAGACAGGTCTGGTTTTCAGATTGGTCTGGCTTTTCGGAACCTTTCAGACCTGTCTGAGGATAACTCGCCAATCGCACTACCATGCAACCAGACTTGACTAACGGATACAAGATCACCAGACCTGTCTGAGGATAACTCTCGCCAATCGCACTACCATGCAACCAGACAGGTCTGGTGATACTCTCGTGACCAGACCTGTCTGACAAGAAACAACCAGACTTGACTAACGGATACAAGATCACCAGACCTGTCTGAGGATAACTCTCGACAATCGCACTACCATGCAACCAGACTCGACTAACGGATACAAGATCAACAGACCTGTCTGTCACAATGGCAATGTTGAACAATCTTGTCTTGACAAAAGCTCAATTTACTGAGTCGGAAAAAAACAATCACACTGTTCATTTTTATTGCAAGACTGAAAACGAGAAAAATGACTTCATTTGCAAAATCATTCAACAGAGATTCTAAACAAAGGAGATGAAATAGAAAAAAAGCAAAAACCCAGATCATTCATTGTCGTCCACCTCTTGTGTCTCGTCATCATCATCCTCATCATCATCTTGGTCAGTACCCCCAGCCTTGTCTTTATCTTTACTAAGATTCTCACATTCATCACCCATTGATCTATCGATTTCGGCCAAATCAGTTGCATCAAGGGCAACTGCCTCAACTTCAGTTGCTTCGACGCCTCCCACATTTCTCAACCGAAAATGTCCCCCTTTGATGTCATCTGCCCACTTTTCTCGATCCTTGGTCCTCATTTTCTTAAAGCCTAATTTCAGAGCCTCTTCGGACAACGTACACGCATCTGAACGGACCATTTCCAAAGGGACCTTTCGTTTGAGTAAGGCACTCTTGGGGTCTTCTGTCAAGGGGAAAGATTGGGTAGGCTTTCGGCCAAGCGCCTTGACTGTTAAAAGAACCAAAATCAATATGTACATACTTGCCCATCACAAACGATGATGGAGATAATTGAACAAACATACCAGTCAATTGAACGAGCATTCTCCCAAGTTGAATCTTGATCCGGTCACTACGTTGAGGCTTGTCGCTACGTTTTCGCTTAGGCTTCAATTCAGGAGGATGAGTGGCTGATGCAATAGCATCAGCCATTGCAGCGCCTTGCGCATATGTTGCAAATACCCGAGCCAAACCGCTGGTCTTGTTGGCCCATCGTGCTACTTGTCGGTGGGTAGTGAACTCCCGTGTCCATCCAAGTGCATTTGATTTATCGGGTGTGAGTGTACTCGATCCCACAAGATAGAACGCAAAATCTAATCGGTTTGCTAGACATGCAAGCTGATTAGAGGAAAGACAAGAATGAAAGAGTAGAATTATGGAAGACAAGACACTGGTAAGAAAAATAGACAATTCAATGAAGAGATGAGATTGAGCAATCACCAACCTCATGTGCAAACTTTTGAAAAGCGGTGAGTGACTTCCTCTGGAGAAGCGCATCGGAAGGGCCCAGCTTGGGCTTTGAGATGTTGGCCGATACTCGGTCGTCATCCACCATCTCTTCATAGATGGGTCGGTATAGTGCTTCTTCTTCTGGTGTCAAGCGCCGCACCTTTGGGACTGAAACTATGATGTCTCCTCGTTCATCTTCATCATCAGCATCTTCATTATCACTTGCAGCGTATGGATTCGGTGCTCCAGCTAACGCGTAGAATAGGGAAGGGGAAAAAATTGCTTTTTGATCGAGTGATAGGGCTTTCCAGCGATCGGTGTTGATTTGATTTCTCTGGGATAGCATATCACCACCATCTTCCTGTCCTCTGTTGGGCACTATATAAAACATGTCAGAAAATTGAGAAACTCATAGTCCAAAAGACATACAACTCACTAGATAATGCAAGAGATTCTTTCGCATAGGATACATACATTCCAAGGTTGGAGGGGTTCTTTTTAGGAGCAACTTCATCACTGGATAAAGAAGGTAGCATCACGATTTCAGCGTGTGAATACAAGGAAAAGACAAAGAGAAATAAAAATACAAAAGAGAAATAAAAATACATTGCTTTTTTGATGGTTCGTAGTTGGACTTTATCTACCAATGCTAGCATTAACAATTCGTGCTCGTATTTTGAATTTATGAGTCGAGCCTTGGTTTGAACCTCAGTGCTTGCTCGGGTACCACCGGAAGACTTGTATTTCTTGATGGCTGTGCGGAGCCGACCAACACTCCAGGCGTCCATATGCTCCTTGTAGTTATCAACGGTAAGGCGATCAGCTTCATTGTCTTCATCTTCATCAGGTGGATGGTCGTCAGCAGTGGTGTTGTCTAGATTGTTGTTGTTGAGGTTTTCATTATCGTTTTCTTGAGGAGAAGTCTGATTAACACATTTAGACTGTTTCCTTTTCTTTTTCTGGGGCGCAGCTTGAGTATTCTCGGCATTACGAGTCGGTGAAGGATCCCTGAGACCAAGTTGATTAGGTTGAGTTTCAGTAGCGCCATTTGTGCGAGAAGAGTGACGAGTCAGACGAGGCGGCATTGAGAAAGGCGACTTAAGCTTGGCATAGTGTAGAGTGTAGATGATTGAGGCTCGTGACAAGTGGAAAGAATAGAAGGATGCAGGATGAGGGTGGTCCGGTCTGGTGAGGTGCGGCGGTGGGGAAATGAATATGTAGAGGTACACGTAAGCAGAACCCGCAGACGAGACTGAGCCACAGGGCTTTTTGGAGGGTTGTTAAGTAGTAAAAGTTGGTCACAAACTGGGATTCCAGGGATATGGCGAATTCTAAGTAGTTAGTAAATTCTCAAAATGAAAGAACTTTGGAGTTAAAATTCTCAAATTGATGCAAACTTAACTAAGTCCCTCGTTAAGCTCGACCTCGTTTGAGCGGCTCAAGCTTAACGAGGCTCAAGCTTAACGAGGGACTTAGTTAAGTTTGAAATTGATGACTGAGTTTAATTCCATATCAGAGCCCTGGGTATGATGCATATGTCTGCACGCACTTCATTGGGAGATGCCAACTTGTCAATGCATGTATCATGAGTCCACCGATTGTCATTAATCTAAACCTATTACAGGCGTAATAGAAATGTATCGGTACATAGGAGTGGATCGGTACATTTTACGCGCCGGTCTGTAAAGGTTTCCCCCTTTGTGTCACCAGGTGGACATTTCACCATCAAATCAGGTGATGTCCCCCAGACCCAACTGATACACTATGTCCTGACAATATACTTAACAACATCGACTTCAGCGTTCAAAGTTAATTCAATATGTCAAGCAAAGTAAATCGACTATTTACAAAACGAGTCATCAACAACCAGCAACCCTTTTCATGTTGCACAACCCCAACTAGTTCGGTTTAATCCTTTGAGAATGATCCGTGATAGTACAACAGGAAACATGATTCACATATATGATTACTATAATCCACCACCTGCTATTCGCTGTAACACAAAATCTGAAATTGACGACCATTTCAGAAATGAGAAACGGAACCTTCATCTTTTTGACACATACCAAGTGAGATAACCGCCCATATGGACATGTATAATCATGATCTTTGCTGACCTATCCATCAACAGAGGCCGACGAGACTTGTGGATGCCCTCTAACCTGTACCTTATCGAGCCATC